TATTCATTGAAAGAATATTATTCATTCCAGTTATAACGCAACTACTATACTAATACACTGTATGATTAAGTATGTATTTGATTTTGATCAATGTAAAACTATCGAGAAGTAATTCATATGAATTATATATTCATCGTAATTGAAAACATTCGACACATATTTTCTAAACTTTATTGTACGATAAAAAATGAGAAAAGATTTTGAGACTATTGTCAATTTGCTTTTATGGAAAGTAACTTTTATATAGGGTGACACACTATGAAGAAAAACGCCTACGATATTCGATTATTTGAGAATTTATGACATCCGGATAAAACTTTTATAGAAACTATACATATCGTTGAACGTGTCTCTGTTTTTTTGTTTCCTAATTAAGAATTGACGAAAATTGTGGATAATAATAGAATAATATTCATTTTGTTCTATCTTATGTCAGAGTAGAAGAAAATCGATAGACTCGCGATGCTTTTCTATACATTTTATTACCTTTACACAAGTAACTATATCTATCTATCTATCTATCTATCTATCTATCTAATGTAGAATCTAGTAGGTACAGTCTAAAGGAAAAACTCGTTAGAATCTAATAGAAAATAGTTTAAGGATTTTGTGATGATATATCGTGAAAAATATCGAATAATGTTGTTGCCGAAACCGGTAGCAGCAGCAAGAAGAAAACGACGACGAGAGAAGGACGAGAAAGAGAAATGGCGTTTCAAACTATTCGCGATAATATCGAATGCGAGTCTACGATATCTCACAATTATTACCGAGCTGTGTTGTTGAGCCTCTAGAATTTACTGTCGCGATAGTAAAGCATATATACCCCGTTGATAAGATGTAATAACAGTATTTACTCTTAATGCCACGAAGGCGGTCTTCTAAGCGAATGTTTCGCAGCGTTTTGCAGCGGCATATGCCAAGGAGTGACACATTTCCGATACCATCAAGAGAAATAACTATTTTTAACGTCACCCATTATCGGATATTACTTTCTTTTCTTTTTTTTTTTTTTTTTTTTTTTTTTTTATCACGAAAGGTTGTAGAACTCTTTTTAATAAAATTGTAATCAGTTAAAAATTGAACGTTCACAATGATTTTGCCAAGTTCACCGTCAAATTTGTCTCTTGAAAATGATACATAACTTGATGAACAAAAACAAAAAAAAAAGTAATGTTAAAATTTTTTTTTATCATCGATTCAAAGTAAAAATGTAAAAGGATAAGAAAAAAGTAATAAAATATGAATGTGGTGGTGGTGGGGGGAGGGTTATCGAGACGTGAAGGACTACTACTCGTTCTCTTTCATCTCCTTTTTCTGATGACAACTCTGGACCACACACATGAGTGATGCAGTTTCGTACATACAAAAAAAAGAACGTTTCTCTCTCTCTCTCTCTCTTTCTCTCTCCTTAGGTGTGTTCTTCTTTTTTCGTTGACAAGAGAAACGTGTTTGTATATTGCCTTGCAAGTATAAGACGACTCTCAGGGCGATAGACTTTGTATGCTTTTTATAAGATCGATTGAAGGTTCGAGAGACAACAACTATGGTTAAAGAAAAAGATACGTGTTGTATGGTGACGTGTACCAAGAGTGGAGAACACGCGTTGTTTGTTACGCATGGTTGATTAAATTAAAGTCAAGGAGTGCATTGGTATTACAACAATGACAACAACAACACAACACGACGAGAAGGAAGACTATGGTGACAATCCACCACCACACCATTGCCTTGATCGTTCATTTGCATTTCTGCTTTATAACGGTTGATGTATTAATAATTTCACGTGGGGGCTAACAGGTTAATCTCCGGCAATAAACGTCCTATGAAATACGAATGCGTAATTATACGTTTATAGGTAATTAATGATCGCGATCGTGTAACAGAAATATAACGAACGACGATATCGATAAATTATACTACTTACTACTACTACTTCAACAAAATATCACTTTTAAATGAAAGAAGGAAGAAGGAAAATCGATTAATCCAATATGTTATTCCTTGATAAGGAAAATTTATATAACACATCGAAATATATCGGTTTCCTTTCTTATATATCTTTTTTGTTTTGTTTTATTTTTACATTTCATTCTCTTTGCTAATAAAATGATGAGATAAACCAGTTTTTTTTTCTCAGGTATTTAACATTTCTTTTTTTTTTTTCCAATATTTTATTCGATATCTCTCCTTGAGATTTCTATCGATACTCGGAAGAAATATTTTTAAACAAGCTTTGAGATTAATCAGGTGAATAACACGCAAGTTGTTGTTTCTACTACTACCTGCATTTCATCGTTGAAATTCCATAACGATAGAAACTTCGTTTATTACCTTTTACGTCTACGTCTACATGTACTAAGTATATATACATGTAAGTGTTTAAGAGAAAAAGAAGGAAAAAAAGAGAAAGGGAGAGGAGAACGTGTTATTTTATTGAATGATCGCGATAGCAGTCATTATTTCTTTCTTTCTTTCATTCTCGTTATCTCTTTTTTTTATCCTTGATATTGCAACACACTCTAAACTCTCGCTACAATCAAATAACTTTCATACACTTTTTTTTTTATAACGAATTAAACTTTTGAACAAAACGATGAGCTAAATAAATGTGCGTATATATATATATATATATATATGTGTGTGCGTTTGTGTGTGAGTTGGAAGAAAACTGGTCCCAAAGAAAGACTTGGATGCCAAGAATAATATAAGAGAAGCAAAGAAAGTAATAAAACAACACACGATAGGGCGCCGAGTCTCGACAGATTGGCCCGGTATTTGATGGAGAATTCGATGAATTTATGGATTTCCTAATCCCTCGTTATAGCAGAGAAACGAACCCTTCGGGAGAACTCCTATGGGATAACTCCTACGGGAGAATCGATACTTTCTTGTTCGTGACGTGCGCGAGAACCAACATGCTTTTACTGACAAGATAAAGAGTGATCGACTTTGGTATTACGTTGCAAAATCCTTAGGGAAAATTTTCGAACAACACATCGCATATATCCACTGTATTTTTTTTTTATTATTATTTTCAATACTGACATATAGAATAACAAAATACGAAGGATATTTGTTCAATTTGGTCCAAAAAAAAAAAAAAAAAGAAAATTGGTTAAAACCAGCAGAAAATACTTTGGAATTATTTCAAGAAAATACTGTAGTGGATGATGCAAGGTATGAAAAAAGCTTGTTTTACTTTTTTCCATTTAAAATACGTACAAACTTTTTTTACTCGATCCTTCAAAGTATTGGTAATAATCGAATCTGAAAGTCGTGCAAAGGAAAATTAGATTTTCTCGACAAAGACGAGAGAGAGAGAGAGAGAAATCGAACCTGTCGAATTATCGATCAATTTACTCGAACTTCCGTGACTATCTCTCTGGCTGTTATTAATTAACATGATATACGCTTCAAGTATTCAAATGGACAGACAGAGAGAGAAGATAGTATGGGATGATGTCCGTAACGATAGAGGACCATGTTCCCATTGTGGCATTCCCAATTAGTTATGATAAATTATACGAGATAAATTCATTTCTCGTTTAAACTTCTGTCGTTATTACCATTATTAGTACTGTCGGCTATCATTATTATTATTATTATTTTATGTATTACGATTATAACTAATATTATTCTTATTATTATTAATATTAATATTATTATTATATCATCATTGCTAYAGACATTTCTACAACAAGCATATCTCGAATTGAAACTAACGCTGATGATATCTGTGTTGCTAGATTTGTGTGGTAGGAAAATGCTATGAAAAGCGTTGATTTAATTAACACGAAAAACACTAGTCTTGCATTACCGGAAAATGGCGTAATGCACCTTTTTTTTGCTTTGACACGTCGTCGACAGAGATCAATTTTGCGAGCGTGTAATATTTGCCGATAATGAAATTAAAACTAAGACAAACAGACAGACAGACAGAAAGAGAGAGGGAGGATCAACCAATCCTATTGAAGTCCTCTCTTTCTCTGCATTTTCCTTTTATATATGTAAAACCGTCTCCTCGTTAGATTAATTCCGCTCCAATTGCGCTTTATGATATTTTTTCCCTATTATTTCGTTGGAACATTTGTACGATACAAATATTGATAATTACACCTGATCAAGATTTTAGCGTGAAAAAAAAAAAAAAATAAAGTAAATCATGCATTAAACTCACTCGTCGTACCCGTACAATATTTAACAATTGAAAGACCTGCTTCACAACTGTGAGATGTTAATAATCGTATTTAAAAGAAAAAGAAAGAAAAAGAGCTGTGATAGGTCCTCACCTCCTTCGGTCTCATGCCAAACGATACCCTCGAGCGTGACTGATGTGCCAGGCTCACAGGGTCCCAAACATTCGGGCTCGGTAATGGTCCCCACGCTGGTCCCAACACAAACGTCGGACATGTCCTGAAACATAGACGTTGGTACATCGGTGAGCTAGGATTAAATGTATGGTACACCATTGACTGTAATAGATGGTCGCTAGGTTTACAGGGTTTAGCGGTTTCGTTTAGGGCTTTCTGCGGTTCGTAGTAGATCGTCGATCAAGAGTATGGGGAAGGTGATATACACGATGAACATGCCGCGAGTTCAAGCCGCGGCTTTAAAAGCAATTAGAGGATATCTCACCAATTAACATTCACATCTGCCTTTCTCCTTTCTAGCGAGCGGAACGGCAACTTGCAATGTACGAAGAACACGATTGCGAACGAATTCGTTAACTTGTTACAACGCCTAATTCAGATAAAATCAACAACTATTTATTTGATCAATTGAAAGAAAATCTACGATCATTATCGAGAATCTATTTTCTTCTTAATTAACAAACGAGTACGTAAATAATGTTATACTAATATTATACAGTTTATAAAGGTGACGGTTGTGTAAGGGGCATTCGAAAAGACAAGGGAGAAGAAGAGAATAACGTTATGGCGTTGACATGAAACAGAATAGGAAGAAGGGTGGAAGGTAAGCAGTCTCTATAGTAGTAGTAGTCTCACCGCGAAATTACAATGGCAGTTTGAAATGCAAATCGCAAAATTTATGCTTGACTTCCATAATTACAGAAGCGGGTCTGCATTATCTTTCATAATGTGCATACAATACACGCGAACCGGCCGACGTAATCGCATCGTTATTATGGCATGAAACTATTTCGCTGTTCGCGCCGCATGACGTTACTATGACGGGGTTCTCTTTTTCTCTCTTTCTCTCTTGAGTGAGTAAGAAAGAAAAAGGGATATTCGAGGTAGATGGCAAAATGTAGGAGAGAACGTTTAACAACGCTGTACGAGTGAAACAGAGACAGAGAATAAGACTGAGGTGAGATGCTTGCAAATGGCTGGGAATAAATAGAATCCGACCACGATGTATTACGATGTGTTACGAAGATGTTGATTCTCTTGGAACCGATCCTTGGCATGTCTTTTGATAAATGTAAGAGTGATCCATATCCAAATAGTTTTTTTATCATTATCAACAAATGATTGATTTATAAGTCGGAAAAGCATCCTATGCTTAATATTAAACGACCAATTATTATATAATTGCTTATACAATCCGAATCCGGATGGAATGATTTAACTGTGTCACGACTTTGGCAAAACTTCATTTAAACGATTAACATGTTAGTTATCGAAAAACCACTGCCATACGAACAATAATAATCTTAACAATATGAAAAAGTGCAACGATGTAGAATAGTTGCAAATCAATTTCTTTTTATACTTTCAATCTACTTTATCGAGTAAACAGGATGATTGGTTTTTTTCGAATATTACATATAAAACGAAAAAGAGAGAAAGAGAGAGAGAGAGAGAGAGAGAGAGAGAGAGAGAGAGAGAATTTTGATTAAGATTCGTTGGATGTTTTTCTGGAACACCCGACGTGTTATTACCTCGCGAGAAGCGCATTTCAAGAGATCCTTGTCGATATCGCATGACACGCATCGACCTATCGACATCAGGGACAGCAACTCGATCCTTTTATAGAGAGAGAGAGAGAGAGAAAAAAGAAGAAGAGAAAATATGAACTGCGATCGAACGAACGTCCGTTGTATGGCATTTCACTTTTGCTCTTTTTCTGCCCCCCCTTTTTTTTTTAACCATTCACTCACTCACTCATTCTTTTTCATCGTGTCGTTAATATCGTTGAACAATTTATTACAGTCGCATTTTGGGCCTGGCGAGAAACTCAATCGAAAAGTGGTTGGGCACACAATGAACGTGTTCAAGGATTAATCTTCCTTTTTCCAAATGATAATATTTTACTTAACTTGTAGAAAATAAAACGTTCAACTCTCTTTCTACATATAGTAATTGTCGTTTAGAAATAATAAAAAGTAAAAAAAAGAGAGAGAGAGAAAATGGAGAGAATGGAAGAAGAAGATAGGGGAGAATTGAGTTTCATCATTCAGCGTGCGTGCGAGTGATCGTAGGTTAATGAATGTGAGGAAAGTTACACATGAGGGTAAGGGAAGAAGGGTTGTAACTATTTTATGAGTTGTACTCTAAAGAGAGATAGAGAGAGTGGCTTTACTTGTACGATGAAAATGAAAGAAAAATGGGGGAAAAGTCGAGGTAGCTTTCGAGGAGGGGCACAAATAGAAATATCAAATTGTAGATACGCGAGTACAAAAGGGAGAAAGAGATAAATTGAGACAAAGGGAGAGAATAATATCGTATAAATGTGTATGTGAATGTGTGTGTTCTCGCAAATGTTAGTGTATAAGTTTTAAGGGAGACAAAGAAATCGAAGGAAGAACGGTGGATAGAGTCGGTGTGTATTATAATAGGGCGGTAAACCGTCTTCAACTATTATGGTCGTATAAACCATTGCCGTGTAATAAAGGTTTCCTATCTTTTCTTTCTTTTTTCTTTTTCTTTTTCTTTTTTCTTACCCTCTTTTGCCGCAATTTGTTCGCAAGTTACGCTGTTTGAATAAAAATAGAAAAGTAAGAGTACAAGAAATAAATATAAACGAAGTACTTTGACTAAATTGAAAAATCGTGTAGCATTAGAATAAATTATATCGATATTATATATCGATAGCACTCTCATTTACGGTACTTTAAAATAATCGAGGAAAAAAGAGAGACATTTGTGTGACTAGGAAAGATTAGGATCGAGGAATACGTTAAAAGGTCCGCTGGTGGGGTACAGATAAAAATGAAAAAAAAAAGAAAAAGATTTTCGGTGATGGAAGAAAAAAGGATCTTAAGCTCCAAAGGAGAGACAGCTTTACGAGGGTCGCAAGATAAACGAGAGGAGGGGAAGTACGAGTCAATCCAGGTTCTTTTCAACGAAGGAAGGAAGAAAGAAAAGAAAGAAAAGGAAGGAAGACTCTCCTCCTTTCCAAAGGGAGACAGATTCCCTCCTCTCTTTCGGTCGATGGATAATCGCACACTGGCTTTCAAATCTTTCCGATCTTTTCGTTCGAATAAAAACTTAGAAATTTAATCCAGCTGCTGTCGATCCGTAAAGGGAGGAGGAGGAGGAGGAGGAGGAGGAGAAGGAGGTGGAGGATCTGGCAACTGGAGAAAAAACAAAAATAAGAAGAGAAAGAGAAAGACAGATTATTAATTTAATTATACGATCCTCTCTAAGAATGAAAACAAACAAACAAACAAACAAACAAAAAAACCTAGAAAAATGTGATTTCACGGGACGACAAAATGGTGACAGAGGGAGAATAGGATAATCTAAAAATCCGATCGCGAGCTGACAAACAAAAATAAAGATGAAGAATTAAAATGATGCAAAGAACGAGAGAGATTAGAAAAATATGATAAAAGAAAGAAAAGGAGAAAGAGATTTGTGCATGTATAGGTAAATGTTGATAAAGGCCAAATATATATATATATATATATATATATA